CAAAAGTCTCCATCAATAGGACTAGCAAATTCAACAAGTTGCTTGTCATGCTCGAACACAGACATTTGATGTTCATTCAAGTTAACAAAAGCTTCAATTCCTCCATCAAATGTCTTCATCAAGTAAATAGACCCTTTGCAGTGCATGATCTAATAGGCTTCCCAAATCCAAAATCTAAATCTTGTAAGAATGGGAACTTACATAAGCTACTCGAAAAGTACAAATCACATTTCCTTTTATAGAATGGAGACGAGATTTCCTATGGGGTTTGGTGGTAGTGGAGGTGACATTATTCCTCGTAAATCAGAGGATTGGACCAACTGAGATTGCTTGAACGAGCCCGAGTTAACGATGATAGAAGAAGATGCAGCACATTTGTAGAGAGGTGCATTCACGGCCTCGTTGCTCGTTACATCTTGCACCCCAATTGACGATTTTAATGCACTTAACTTTGTACTAGAGAAAATAAACCTCTTTTGGACACATTTGTCCATGTCTGATCCAATAACAGGGGAAACCAATGGACCAATTGGCGATGGTACAATGGAGTCCTCCACGAAATAAGGAGATGGAGTTGTATTTGAACTTCGAGTTAATGCAGCCCAATCTCTCAAGAAGAAATAGGCACTACTTCCATCTCCTATTTTGTGCGACAAGCAAACACTGAGTTCCTGATGTGGTTATTAATTTTCTTGTTACTGCAAATGAATAAATTTGATGCAATTTTACTTTAATAGCGACTCATAAGGTTAAATATCTAAATATGATGTTACAGAGTAAACTAAGGGACTAGGATGCGTTACCAAACATTGCATAATTGATACCATATTCAATATTATTACTATTATACACCCTGCCAAAAGACCTAAGTGCTTATTTCTTCTATCTTTAAATAATCCAAATGGTTTTGAAGAATATTATCTAACAATACAGTTGGGGATGTAGCTCAAATGGTAGAGCGCTCGCTTTGCATGCGAGAGGCACAGGGTTCGATCCCCTGCATCTCCAACATTTTGTTTTTTTGTTGATAAAACAATATAAAATGTGAAAGTTGTTAATTAAAACAGATCCACATGATATAAAGCCTAATATTCAAGATCTATTTTCTTATAAGGTTTCACAATCAAGTTCATCGATTACACGAAGCACTATATACGTAAAGAATAATTTTTCGTCAAATGGGGTTTGAACCCATTACTCTCACTTGGGTTCGTCCCAGTTAATCCATGGCATTGCATTGCTATAGCTTTCGTTATGCAAAGCGAACTTTGAGATTAAATTACTTGTAGTTTCATCTATCGCAAGTTGAAATTCCTTCATTTTTGCAAATAACTTCACACAATTAATGATTTTTTTCGACAAAGACGTCTTACAAATTACAAAATTAATTAAACATAAGAATATATTAAAAGGAAAAAATTAATCATAATACTTTATTTATTTTTAAACAATGATTAGGTTATAAAAAATGTTACCAAAAAACTATTAAAAATAAGAAATTTGCACGATTTTTAAGAAAATGATATTTATCAGATTATTACATACCCACCACATCCAGCGCTCCTTATTTCAAAGCTAAAAAATGTAAAAATTTGACCGTTAAAAGTACGTTGCGCACAGTATAAAAACTCTCAAATTAACCCTTCTCTTTCCATTCACAATCTGTGAAAACAAAAAAAAATATAAAATCTTCAACTTCTTCAAGAAGAAGACATTGAAATGGCTAACAGAGACGCAGTTCCAAAAATTTTACCCAAAGGTGAGGAAAAAGATCGTCTTTTTCGACACCCCAAATTCCCAATTTACTAGTTGTTTGTTGTTGGTTTTTCATTTTCTTGGATTAGTATTGAAAGAATTTAATTGGGGTTTATGTTAATGCAGTTTTCTTTGAGTGAATCATGATGAGTATTGATGTTTCTTGGGTGTTTTTCATTTGTTTAATACATGTTGATATGAGCTGATTGTTTAGATTCTTGATCACTGCTAATGAAATTCTGGAGAGTTGTTAAAGCTGTATTTCCCCCTTTTTTTATGATTCATTTTATTTTCTTGATCACATTGCTATTCCAAGTCCGAATAAAGAAGAAAGATTATGTTTATACATATTTCTGCCTTCTCTAGCTGCGATAACATACAACAATTATCGCCATTTCCCTGTTCATTTAACTGTTTTTAGGCTTGTTCACTGTCATTATAGAACTCATTTCTTGGCCAAGGTTTTCCTTGTTTAGAATCTTTACTGATATGTGAGTTTGAACTATTTAGTAGTAGGAGGGGGAGAGGTTAAGAAGAAGAATGGCCTAGCAGATGGAAGAACTAGGCGTGCTTTGGGAGATATTGGAAACCTTGTCACTGGTCCTGCAATTGGAGCAAAGCCTCAAACTAAGGTTTCTCGACCCATCACTAGGTAGAATTCAGTCACACTTTACAAACAACTCGACATTTTTATGCATTTTGGTTTATCTTGTATAGCTGATCCCAATTTCTTGGGATTGAGGCGTAGTTGTTGCTGTTGGTTTTATATTGTATACGCTCGTGTAACTTGAATGAGAACTTTCACTATTCAGGAGGTCTGCTGCACAGTTGATAGTTAAGGGACAAGAACCACTGCAGAAGAACAAGGTAATTTCCTCGTTATCTGTGTGAATAATAGTTCTTGAAAAAATTTTCCTATTGGGAGTAATATTTTTCTGATTTTAAAAGATGGGGTTAAGATGCTTTACTGTACTTAGTTCTTGAAGAACCCCTTTTTCCAATTGGCTTGTTGTTGTGGTTTGTTTGTAGACGAAGCCTCTTGTAACTAAAGGAGTTGCAGCAAGAAAAGTTGGTGTTCCAGCAAAACCAGAAGCTAATAAAAAGGATTCTGTCAAAGCGAAAGCTGGAACAATTAGTGTTATATGCCCTGATGAGGATGTGAAAACCATTGAAAAGATCACCTTGAAAGAAAGAAAAGTAAGGAAGAGTGGAAAGACTCTAACTTCTATCCTAACTGCGCGAAGCAAGGTTGTCTTTTTACCTCTTCCCTTTGCTGAAAATGTAGTAAGTTAGATCAGTATATAAGTGTAATTGACCAATTATCTTTTAGGCTGCTTGTGGACTCTCCAACAAACCAAGAACACAGATTGTTGATATTGATGCTGCTGATGTTGATAATCACTTGGCTGGTGTTGAATATGTTGAGGATATTTACAAATTCTATAAGCTCACAGAGGTATGGTGAAAACTTCTGTCTCCTGTGTTCACTTTAATGTAACGAAATGGTTTTGTGACTTTATTGTAATAGTGGAAAAAGTTCAGTTACCATTCGTGAAGTTGATCTTGTTTTTTGATGATTTGGCTGATTCAGGACGAAAATCGACCATGTGATTACATGGATTCACAGCCAGAGATCAATGACAGGGTGAGAGCAATTCTTGTGGACTGGCTGATAGAAGCACACAAAAGGTTTGAGCTGAGGCCTGAAAGCCTGTATCTCACAGTCAACATAATGGACCGTTTCCTGTCAGAAGAGACTGTTCCTAGAAGGGAACTTCAGTTACTATGCATCAGCTCAATGCTTATTGCCTGCAAATATGAAGAGATTTGGGCTCCAGAGGTATAAAAATTCAGTATTCTCAAAATGTGTTAAATCTGTTTAGTTCAAATTTATCATAATCTCTGATTATATGTTATGTTTGTCTCTGCAGGTTAATGACTTCCTAACAATAACAGACAATGCTTATGTCAGGGATCAGATACTTCTGATGGAGAAAGTAATTTTGGGAAAGCTGGAGTGGTATTTAACTGTCCCAACGCCATACGTCTTTCTGGTTCGTTACATTAAAGCTGCAGTTCCATCTGATCAGGAGGTATTGTTTTATTCTCAATGTGAATTTGCTGCTACTTAAGCAGATAAAGACAGCTGGTTTAGCTGATTATACGTGCCCTCTTTGTTGTTTTATAGATGGAGAACATGACATTTTTCTTGGCTGAGCTCGGGCTGATGAACTACACTACCGTGATATCCTACTGTCCATCAAAGTTTGCTGCTTCTGCTGTTTATGCTGCTCGTAGTACTCTCAACAAGAGCCCTCGATGGACTGACACTCTGAAGCACCACACTGGCTACTCAGAAGACCAGCTGAGGTAAAGAAAAAGTTGAAGCACTTGTCATTTAGGATTGGTAACTCTACAAATTATGAACTAATTGTGTTGTGTATGTATTGTTTGAAACAGGGAATGTGCAAAACAATTAGTTAGCTTCCACTCTGGTGCTGCTGAAAACAAGCTGAAGGCAGTTTTTAGGAAGTTTTCTAGTCCAGATAGAGGTGCTGTTGCCCTCTTGCCCCCTGCAAGAGATGTTCATATAGGAAGTTCTTGAACAAAGATTGTGAAAATGTGTGAAGTCAGATCATGTCAAACTTTCTGATCTCTTATTTTGAAGTCTGAAAAATTCATACTTTTATATGATTTACTTACTAGTAAAGTCATTCCCTTTTAACATTGTATGGTTCTTGTGAATATTTGAATGTTGAGTGAGTTTTATCCATTAGTGTTAATTGTACCACTTCTATTCTTTGGCTCACTCACTGTGTGCATAAATTTTCCTAGCCTTAAGCTCTTTATTCTTTGTCATGAAAATATGCAGTAGCTCTATACACGCGGTAGCAGCCTTCTTAAACTTCATGGCAAACATTCCTGAGGAGAAGTCCGTCTAATCATGACAGTAAAAAGTAGTTCGGTGTATATTACAATGTATGAATCATTCAACAAGTGTTATTGTTGTCAGGGGAAATAGGCAAAAAGAACTCGAGAATGTAGATTGAGAATGCCTAAGCTATAAATAAGAGCAAACTTGTGGAGTTTAGGCGCGCAACCCAAGGGAATGTAGGCAGTCTACCCTGATGTAAGCATCAATGGCTAATTCCACGGATCAAACCCCGTGGTTTAATAGGTGACATGGAGACAACTTTACGTTTCTCTAAGGCTCCCCCTTCCGTTAGAGGCATAAGCAATCATGATGAGTTAAATGGGAGCACAATTAAATCGTATGTACACTTACAAGAAACTGCCTTCAGCTATAAATCTGATGTGCCAGAGCATGTTATAGTTGGTATTGCACACACAACAAAGAGGAATGAATTAACCATTTCTTAGTTTTCGGGTTTGTTTAAAAGTGAAGGATTTGAATGAAATACAATATGTGCCTCAGAACCTACAAGAATCTGCAGACTCGTCATTGACTTTAACCTTCGTCCCACAGCAGCTCTTTCTCTCGTGTGCCTCCACTTTCTTTTTACCAGAGCAAGCTCCGCCTTGATCATGTGATGCCTTCCCAAGATCTGGCATCCTCTCGATAAACTCTTTATTCTCTTTCCACACCTCTCCATTTGTATATACCTCTTTCTTCCATATCGGAACTGATGCTTTAAGCTCATCAATCAGAAACTTGCAAGCATCCAATGCATCTGCTCGATGGACAGATGAGATTGCAACAAATACACTAGTCTCTCCAACAGGAACAGTACCCAAGCAGTGAGCAACTGCTATCGAGTGGATATCCCATGATGATCGGGCAGAAGAACAGAGAGATTTAAGACAACGTATTGCCATTGGAACATATGCTTCATACTGTAGCTCTAACACTTCTTTACCATCAAATGTATCACGCGTTGTACCTGCAAATGTTGCTATAGCTCCACATTTGGGAGAACTAACATAACCAATATATTTATTGAAGTCTATTGGGCTATTCGCCAAGATCTCAATGAGATTTCTATCTTCATCAGCCATTTGAATCACCTGTAATTCCGATAAAACGCTTCAAAACAAAAACAACTAGGATTCAATTCCAAACAAGTCGGGGGTCGGTAATATGAATTCTCATTATCCATGTCGTGCTATTTAACCTCATCTCAACTCCAAAAAGTTTTGCTTATGAGAACTAGAAATAACTAACATTCACACACTTCCTTCTTCACATTTTAAACGAAACTATATCAAAGCAAAATCAAATAAGATTCATACGATCAAATTAAACGAGAAGGGATTAGACCGGACAACACCAGTAGATTGAGTTTCATGTAAGTATAGACTATAATTATCCAACTATACCCTTTAAACAATCAACGTCAACTCATGATCTTGGATTATAATTCTCAAAGACCACTTCCATAAACTCCTAAATCCAATAAATTGCAGTTCACTCCTTCCGTCCCAATTGATGTGACACTTTTTGCTTATCTATAGTCAATTTAACTAGTCTTTGTTAAAATACTCAAAACTAAAGCAACAGGTTTGCCTTCTGGGTCGAGCTCGTCGCACCAGGCTTGCCTAGTGCGGGTTACCTCTCCTATGTGGCTTCCGAGCTATTGCATAGGAGCGGGGTTTTTACCCTGTGAGCACCCAAAGGGTAACGGCTGCGGGTTTTCCTTGTCATAAAAAAAAAACTATACTAACAAAATACATTTTATATGTTTGTTGGTGAAATTCACATTGTTTAAATCTCGAGAAGCAAAAAGTGTCACGTAAATTGAGACAGAATAGTCATGGTATTCAAAATAGTAGTAATTATCAGTGATGTTGATATCTTTTACAAATCAATTAGTATCAAGTCAACTCATGGCCAAATCACTTGAGATTATACGGAAAACTTTATTTAATTGATTTCAAATACAAGGATTTTGAGATAATTAAAAATTATAATCATGATTAATCGAAATTAAAGATTGAATCTTTGAAAACTTACCTATACAATGAAGCGGCTGGCTCGCGGCTGGTGACTGGTTGTTGAACCGCAGCTTTGGAGCTTTATCTTTTTGTGATTGCAGAGTAGAAGTTGACAATTTTTGGAAGAGACAATTGACAAAACTGGTCCCTTAATTTTTGTAAGTAAGTTCAACATAGTTCCTTAAGTATCAATTCAGCAAGTTTGATCCTTTAAATTTGTTAAAATGAGTAAAATTTTGATTTAATTATCATATAGATATTGTGAAAAACTTTTCTTTTTCTTCACTGAATTTATTTATAGGTTCAATTAATTTACAAGTATCCTTACTAGTCATTACACACTCTATATATATTCAAAATCATGTTCATAAAAATAAGTTATGTTTAACTTGGTGCTTATATTGTTAAATCTAGTTCAATAAATTAAACAACATACATTTATCGAGTAATATATAATTTATCTATATTGCTACACAAATAAATAAAAAAACTTTTTACTTAGTGTGTAGCATTTTTTGCTTTAAAAAGTTATTTATAAAAAATAATATAATATGTATATATAATTTCTTGATCCGATTTTCTTTAATTCTTTTAACAAAATTAATATTATTTAAATTGATTTCTATCCAAATTGTGTATACCTCTCTCATGAGAATCATGGTTTTTGCTATTGCACTTTTTTTTCTTTTTGACAACATAAAAGTATACACCTATAAAATATTGTTTATAGGAAAATAAATATAGCATTCACTGTTTTCACTGTTCTTCAAGTCCCAAATATCAATTGTGCCTTCTTCTTTTTTTTTCCTTTTTCAGATTCCATAACTCTTTTCTTGAATTTAGAGTCATCCAAACTGCTTGCTTTTCTTCTTATTCCCATAATTACCGATTCTTGATTTGATCTTCGTTTAATTTAAGCAAAACCCTAGTATTTTCTAGCTGAATTATCGGGAATTTGGAAGGAATTGAATCAGGGAAAAAAGAAAAAATTCAATTGAAGATCAGTTAGTTAGAGATGGCAATAGCTGCACCAGAACAGCTTAATCTTACGGAAGTTCCAACTTGGGGGTCTAGGACCGTTGATTGTTTCGAGAAATTGGAGCAGATTGGTGAAGGCACTTATGGGTTAGTTCTTGTATTTTGAATTATGTATTTTGCTTGTAGTGTGTGCGCTTTTACGAGTCGAGGAAACAGTCTTACTTTGGGTTTGTTGTTGTTGTTGTAGTGTGTGTTAAAGACTTAAAGTTATCATTTTTTTTGTTTAAAAAAACATTTTATTGAAAGTTGGGATGAATGGGTCTGAATAGAACGGAATGAATACACGGGGTTTATATATGTAGACCTCAATTATATACATGAGATCCTGTGTATTTCATAGCTTGTAGTAAGAGAATTTATGGATTAGGACTCTGTTTGCTGAAAGTTATAGTCTCGGGCTACGTTTGACCTTCCACGTGTATTCGTTTATCCAGAATTAATTGAAAATTTGAAACTTTATGTGGAAAATTTAAGTTAGCAAATAGAAGACATTTGGTGTTTGTGAGCGCCTATGATGCTCAGACTCTTCAAAAATGTAGTTGGGTGTGTCGGATCCTCCAAAAAGTAGTGCATTTTGGAGGATCTGACATGGGTGCGGCAACAATTTTGGAGAGTCCAAGGAATGCAGGTGAGCTCAAAAGTTAGTAGAGCAGTATTTTAGCTTATAGAATGACGGAAAAAGAGAAATTTAGTATAAAGGTCTCATTTTTTTTGGCTTATAGTGTTGAAGACAAAAATTTCAGCTTAAAGTTCTCAGCTTTTTGTATCTCATCAAAAGAGTAGATTTGTTTAAAGGTCTCATTTTTTTTGGCTTGTAGTGTCGAAGACAAATTTCAGGTCAAAGTTCTCAACTTTTTGTATCTCATCAAAAGAGTAATTCATCTTTTTTATAAGTAACTGGAGGGGTAACTCAGAATCTGTCTTAAACTATCTACGTCATTGTCTATTTTGCAACTTACACCAAAATGCTGAAAGAGAGACTGTTATACTTCAACTCATATACTCTCCTTCTATCGTCTGAAACATCTTTAGTTCCTTCATTTCCGTACTGATCACCATATACATGCTGGGATGGTTTCCCAAATCCTCTTCTTGCCTTTTCCAACTCTTTTTCTTGTCCAGCCTTATAAGGGTTCCTTCACTGATCTTGGCATAACCCCCTTCACATAACAAATGCTCAGAATCATCTGCCATAACCATATCACTGCAGGGCAATGTATGGGTCATAAATTTTGTTTTGACTGTTCTGGAAGAGAAGTTTGTTATTGACAAGTGTATAGGTGGGAACATGTACTTTGATGTGTTATACTGTGCTTCTGAAAGTGGATATGATTTTAATACAAATCAAAAGGCAAACATGGTTATTAGATTCTAAATGGAGGGAGTAGTTAGTTGATCCATTTTTGTGGTCTGAACTGTAACTGTAGAAAAAGGATGACTACCTTAACTGGTGCTCAACAATTTGTTCATTAGATGTACAACTGTTAATGTGGCATATCTTTTACCTTGCAGTCAAGTGTACATGGCAAAAGAAATTAGAACGGGGGAAATTGTTGCTTTGAAAAAGATACGCATGGACAATGAAAGAGAAGGGGTGAGCTTCTTATTTTAAATATGATTTGCATTTTGTTAGTTCTTTCAAACTCTTCTCACTGAAGCTTTTCGTAACAGTTTCCAATAACTGCTATACGTGAGATTAAAATCTTAAAGAAGCTGCACCATGAAAATGTCATTGACCTGAAAGAGATTGTAACATCTCCAGGTAAGAGTTGAATAATATATACATGCTTTCATATTGTGTCATTTTTATTATTTACTAATGGTCCCCTTTTACGCTAAACTTAAAAAACACATAAAAGTTACTTAACTTTTTTCCTTCTTACGTGCCCTTTGTGGTTTTCCTTCAGTAATGAAAAAAATCGTTCAAAAGTTTCTGTCTTGCAATTGCATTGCCAGCAAGATTTTTTTACCTTATTAAACATGTCTTATCTTTTTTACAGCAAATGTATTAATTTTTGCCTGCATTGACTGTGATCTTCGTCAATATTCAAACATATTCAACTACCGTGCTAAATTGCAAAAAAGGGTCCTTTTAATATCAGAATTGACAGTATAAAAAGATCCAAATAGTTTTGTGAAAGTTTAGTAATTATTGTGTCCTTTTTTTGTTGTTGTTCTTTATTTTGTGGTAAACAGTCCTGTGAAAGTATCCATTTTTAATTGTTGTAGGTCGTGATAAGGATGACCAAGGGAGGCCAGGCAAGTGTTTCTTAATTTAATTTTCGTTTCATATGGTGCTTTTACTGCTTCCCCAAACCCCTCGCCTGATGTCACTTCTGATTTAATCGAGTTTGTCATATTTGAAGTAAACATATGATTTTATTTGCAGATGGTAACAAGTATAAAGGTGGAATCTACATGGTCTTTGAGTACATGGACCATGATTTGACTGGGCTTGCTGATCGTCCTGGAATGAGATTTTCAGTTCCGCAGATTAAGGTAGCATAATTTGTCACTAACGTGTCTGGTAGCACTGCTGAGCAAAATAGTTGCTTGAAAGAAGAGAGTGAGTAGGATGTTGATATTCACTTTCTTTTTTGCAGTGTTACATGAGGCAGCTTTTGACGGGACTGCACTATTGTCATGTAAATCAAGTACTTCATCGTGATATTAAAGGTTCGGTTTAGGAAGTTCATGCTGATTTTCTAATTTCATATTCTCTTAGTGTGGTGATAACTGATAAAAGCTTCTCCTTTTCCTTGTAGGTTCCAATCTTCTGATTGACAACAAAGGCAATCTGAAGCTTGCTGATTTTGGGCTTGCTCGATCCTTCTCAAATGATCACAATGCAAATCTTACAAATCGTGTGATTACTTTATGGTACAGGTATGATTTGTGGGATACCAATCCTTTGGGATTACCTGGATTTCATTTTAAATTCCCTTTTTGTGTGAGTGGTGATTTGTGGTATATCAAACAGACCACCTGAGCTGCTTCTTGGGACCACAAAGTATGGTCCAGCCGTTGATATGTGGTCAGTTGGTTGCATCTTTGCTGAGCTGCTTCATGGAAAACCAATTTTTCCAGGGAAGGATGAGGTAGTTGATCTTTTCTGTTGGTTAAATGTCCTAAACCTTACAAAATTAATGAAGATGAATGCACTTCCTTTAGTATTCTTGGCCTTACAAAGACTGTCTATGGTCTAAGGAATAACAGTAACAGCTTGCGCTTGAAAAGAATTGTGATGGTGATATTTGCCTAATGTACGCCTTCTTTTTTTTTGGCTTTAGGGGGTTAAGTATGTACGTACCTGGTGTTTCTTTATGTCTGACATCTGGTTGGCTGATTGTGTGCCTGATTAATCATTGTGTATTAGGACTGTTCAAGACAACTGATTGCTTCTACACCTAATTTGTTGCATTACTTAGATTTTAAATATTCACCATCGGGATTCTTTTATGTTTGAGCTGTGGTGCACCAGCTTATGACAAGATTTAGCCAAGAATTTTAAAAAACACAAACTTATATATCCTCACTAATCCAAATTAATTAGGATTTTCAAACTTCCTTGTCACTTGTGGAGCTTTAAAGCAAGAGCTTGACTTGTTTGATGTTTCGTGTATTTAACAATTTTCTTTTTCCCAAATGACCTACTTAAAAGCAGTACATGTGAATGCGACTTTAGGTTGTGTCGAATTTCTAGTGTGCTCAGGTGAATAACCCAGTTTTTCATTGATTTCAGCCAGAGCAGCTGAACAAGATTTTTGAGTTGTGTGGCTCTCCTGACGAGGTTAATTGGCCTGGAGTTTCCAAGATTCCATGGTATAACAATTTCAAACCATCAAGACCATTGAAAAGACGTCTAAAGGAGGTTTTCAGACAGTAAGTAAAAAATACATGATGTGATATATTTGCTCTAGTTCCGCACTATAGTTATTGGTCTTGAATAGATGTTCATGTATTTATACTATTGCGTCTCTGGATTTAGCTTTGACCGACATGCCTTGGAGTTGCTTGACAAGATGCTGACCCTTGACCCATCTCAGGTATCAGTTTCTCTGGCATGCATGTCATTCTTATG